CGGTGTTGCAGTAACAGATGCCATCCAGCGACGATGTCAGACACCCACACACCTCTGTACACGCGGGATATCTTATGGGGTGCCTGCCTCAGCGTTCCGGGGCGCCATTTCGTAAGTCGTAGCGACCTCAAAATTTCAGCGCGGGTTTTTCGCAAGGTGTGGCTACCTTAGCGGCCCCTCGCGGGATTTGAGTCATTTGAGCCATCATAACGCTGACCGTACCCCTTAACTCAAACCACCTAGTAGGGCCTATAATCCCACGTCTCGTGGTGAAATTCCAAGACCAATATCAGTCCTAAGGCTTCACGGGTAAAATTCTGACACCGATAGGGTAACCTCTGGGCGTCAGGCGCTGATGGGTGCCAATTCAAGGGTGGAATGTGACAAGCACATATCACAGCGGTCCAGAAAGCGCTGATTCCATTGCCAGCTTTGCCGCGCTCGCGGGTTTGAGACATGGCCAAAATTGCCTTCTCCAGGACCGCCCCTCACCGCTGCGACACCACTACCTTGAACTGGCCGCCATTTTACCTGCGAGTAGCCGTCCTAGAGGTCGTGAAGGCGCTGAATTCATTGCCGGCATCAGTGTGCTTGTCAGTATTCAGCTGGTTGAGATCTTGTCAAAATCGCCTCCTCAGGTACTCCACCCTCCTGCTACCTCATTACCTTTAGTCGGCCGCTGTTTGACCTGAGAGTAGCTGTCCTTCGGCCCTAAAGACGCGGAATCTTTTGCCACCGTCGGCTTGCTTTTTGGTGATAAACTGGTAGAGCTCTCCTCCTCCTCCAGCCATATGCTATCCTACCTCCTTCAGCTGGCCACTGTTTGACCTAGGAGTATCCATACTCGGAGTCAATGATCTCCTGAATGGTGTCCCCTGTACGCCGCGCTGATTGGGAATGATCTAGAGAAGCTATTAGCAAAGTCGCCTCCTCCCCAATCACGTACCAGGTCTGAAGTTGGGGTGTGCAAATAGTGAGTGACGGGTCATGAAGATCCAAAACTTGAGTGACCGCTTATGATCCCAACTCGCGGCCATCTTACCCCCAATCTCAAGCTCACCTCCCAGCTGCAATGCCTCAGGTGCTGCCAGCGTGGTTTGCCCTGGGCGCAGCGTCGAACCAGCAGCTGCCTCAGACTCGTCGCAGGCGTCACTCATCCTTTACGCAACCGCCACGACGACGAAGCACCGGCATGTATAAATATGGGCCGCACCAATAACAACGCGTCCGTCTATTCTTTCATTCTCATAACGCAACGCGGGGATGCCAGCCGCAGCTCTTTCACCGACCGACATTGCCGGTTTCAGCGATCCGGATACGCCATCCAACCAGCTCTCTTCTGCACTACTTGACCGATTTCCGCCCTGAGACCCTCCGCGGCCCGGCGTTCGCGAAGCACCCGCAACAAGTCACAGTACATGCACACCACGCCGTGTTGGCACGAGTTTTCACTCGATACATGTCTGGCGCCTTACGGCCGAGGATGGTGACTGACCACGTCCCAGGCCACGCTGAGAGGTTGGAGTGGGACCAGCTTCTAGGGTTCTTCGTATAAACCTGCTAGTAGCGCTGCAGAACTGCACCGGAGAAGGCCCAGGCGAATTCGAGGAGTGGTTGTGGAGGACGGTTGAGTAAATGTTAGTCTCGAAGTGGTGTTGGATCCTGGGGGTTGCGGCTTCAGTATGCACGGAAGGAATGCGAGGGCTTTTTGTAACAATGGAACTGAGGTGAAGGAGTCCGCATTCAATGAATTCGTTCATATTCGGAGAATTGTTCATGAGGTTTTGCCAGTCTGGAATCTCTGACTGAGCGGTTGCAGTCGGACAAAGATGTGCATGCTGGTGGTTAGAGAAGCACATCGGGTTGCGCTCGCTGCAGAAATTGGTTACTTTGAGGGGCTAATTGTTTCTAGATACTCAATGACTCAATTCACTGCAGTGAGGGTTGGATAATCGTCGCCACATCGTGTAAGGCTCCTGCTTGGACGAAGTACAAGTATCATACGCCCAAATATTGATGGGCGCTAGACGTGGCAGATCGAGCCAAAAGCCCGGGCCAAAAGCTTGAGCCAACATATTTTTGGGCTCGAGTTTTAACTGAGAATTTACATGCTGTGATGAACGCGGGTGATAGCGGATGAAGCGCACCGGATGAGGACATGAGTGATATCCTATGCTTCAAAACTTCCCTCTTCCCCATACCTACTACAGTCTACTCTGTCTATAAGAATGGGGCCCGGACCGTAAAGTGTTAGTGTTCTTATAGAGTGCTTATTCTAAAAGACAGAGTGGCGTGGCACAAGTGATCGTTCGTGACGCGGACTTGTGGCGATTGCAAAGTGCCTTAAGTAATATGGTGTGTTTATTACTTTTTCCGCTTGAGAAGAGCCTCACCGGTTTTAATCTTTTTCCAATAGGGTCTTGTACCGTGCTCTTCCGGCCAGTGGCGTGCAAACTCGCAAATCTTCTTGTTTTCGCCGTCCGACCAATTCTGGCGGGGTGCCGAGGCTGCTTTCTTTCCATTACCAGGTATGATGGTCTTTAAATTGCAGCGGGTCACGGAGATTTGTCTCGGCGGATCTCGGCACTGTTGGTTTGTTTGTTTTAATCATATTGCATTCGGCCGCTTGCGGCCATGGCATATAGAGTACAGAATCACCGCCGCGCCCTTAGTCCCCCGCATCGGCAGGCCCCTCACGTTGCAGATGTTCGTCGCCTCAGTGTAGTCCCTCCACAGCATGGATTTACGCAACGAGAGCCACAATGGCATCACATAAAATGGAACCCACTGCCAATGCGGCAGAAATGGTCACGTGGAGCACGAGGGTGCTCCGTGTCCATCTCGACCCGGTCCTGAGGATTTGTACGGTCGACGTTGAGGAAAAGCTTGAGGCCCCAGGAGTTTACTGGTGCCGTGTGGGAGTGAAGCAACTTATTCCAGCTCCCCTCCGTTTTCATTTCCCTAGAGCCCGGCTCAGCATCTTGCACTGCATGTTCGGAATATCCCCTAGTGAACCGCATCCTCTAAGAGCACCTAAGTATCGGACTTCGTGAAGTACCATATTAATCTAGACGTACGGCGGGGCGAACGAATAAGGCGAGGCGAAAAAACGGTGTCAACTCTGCACATTTAATAATGCGGTCTTCACTTTTCCCTGAAACCGGCTAATGGGATTGCACCGTAGTCCGGCGGCATTGCACCGTAATTCCCGCGGCGGCCGTCCGTATCATTCCATCGTCCCCTAGAGGCCCCGGCTGCACCGCGCGTTGTGCCGTTACACGATAACCAGAGCGAGAAGAGTAGAACTCCGAGGCGCTGGAAATCGCCTAGGCGGCCCGGAGACAGCTTTTCTTTTGCGGTGTGCGCAAGAGGGCTCGGCGACGATGTTGATCGAGCTGACAGGGTATATTAAACCAGCGTTCGCAATAGCAAGCCAAAACCTGGGCTGGCTGCTGCCGGGCGGGCATTTTGGACCAGGTGTCGGGGCAGCCCAGCCCAGCTGCGAATGATCGATCTCCAGTGAAGCACAGCAGCAACCACCATTGATAAAGCTCTCAAGTTTGTAGGGGAGGCAGACCGAACATGTTTCTTACTGCGAGAAAGCTCTCGGGCTGCAATCGCCTGTTTTGGTCGTGAAATAAATGTGGTTGACTTACTTTGTGTCTGGCTGTCGAAAACATCCGATATCACTCGATGCTCCTCTCGCTTCCCTAGCATCCAGTGCGTAGTTGAGCACCCCGCAACGCACCAGAATCCCTGATCTGCCGGGTCGCGATGAGTATGCCTGGTCTAATTAGGCACCGGCTTGTCACCAGGTGAACCACCAAAATCTCACTTCGCGATGCCTAGAGAAAGCAGTTACTATGGGATTTCAACGATCTTTGTCTACTCTGTGCCCATCGTCATTGTTGTCGCGGCCGTCGGGGTCCCGCTGGTGATTCACCACAATCTGGTGTCTACTTAGTTAGACCAGGCATGCTCATCGTGACCCGGCAGATTAGGGATTCAGGTGTGTCGCGGGGCGCTTAACTATCCACCGGAAGCTAGGGATGCTAGGGATGCTATATATCACCACCACTGGCGGAGACGAGATCGCGATGCCTACAAACGGGATGCACGCGGTCGCGATTCCCAAACAGGATGACCATGTTTACTGTGGGATTTGTTCGTCGCGTTTAGTATTGTGTGCGGCGCGACTGGATAACTATTTGCAATGCCAATAGACAATGCGCGGACAAACGAGCGACCATCGCCCGTCTGTGGACACCTGAGGTCCAAGGGTAGATTTTGTGTACATAGCCACATTTCATGGCCGCAAGGGGCCGAATACATCATGATTAAAACAAAAAAACAAAACGAGCGACCAAGTTGTGTGGGACAAAATGACGTGAGTGATCAATTGTGAGGGTGACTAAGCGCTGAGTGATTTCCTGTGACGCTCTCAACACCCGTTGCTATGGTCTCCTGCCCACCAAAATTACCCCCGCTATCCTCAGTTTCTACGGTATACCAGATTGCGGCGGGCGCTCAGGCCCAGGAGGAGGAGGATGATTCGCCATCTTCTTCAGGGAGGAGTATGAACCCGGCCCAGGGGCCATACCATTTTTCACCCTGTTCCTATCCTTTGTCACCTTTTTTTTTGTTCAATTGCGTCTGGTGTTTTTGGGTCGTTCCCGTGGTTGACCCACGAGATAGCATCAATAAGGGAGCGGACAGGATAAGTATGGCGATGAGCATTGAGTCTGTCGTGATTGTTCGCGATTGCATACAGACAATGACATGAACCATCTCTGCGCCCTGCGGTTTGCACCGCCGCCCTGGACAGACCTTTCACGGTGTCACAAAAAACTCGAACCCTAACTCTCTATGTGCCTGAAATGACCTAGAGCTACCCTGGTTTTTCTTTTGCGGTGTTCGCCGGGCGATCATAGAACGTCAATGAACTCCCTAAACAGAATGGAGCTGCAACAAGTAGCCCAATGTTCACATCACACAGCAAGTCCTTGTTAGTATAGTGGTTAGTATTTCCGCCTGTCATCACCATGACCGCCCGCGGGAGACCGGGGTTCAATTCCCCGACAAGGAGTAATACTTTTTTTTTGCGTGCATCATCAGAAGATCATTTCAGCCATCTGGATTTTTTAATGAGTCGCATTGAGCCGGCCGAGTGCAAGACTCAAAATGCTGGGCTGATAGCTGGCCCGGCTGCCGCGGCTTTTTTTGGACGAGTGATGCCCGATGACCGCCCTGCTGGCTCACTATCTCTCAATGCATGGATGCAACCCTGCACATACGCTGCGAATAAATGAATGAACGCTATGTATGAGATCAACACTCCGGGCGGTATGCTGAGGTGCTCCTGCGAACCAATTATCAACACGATAGCTACCAGCTGGCCAACTTCCCCGCCTCCATCGTTGCCCCATCTAATCTGAGGCGGGCGGTCAGAACCGGCGGCATGAAGTTGCGGTAGACTTGGAAAAGGACGAAAAGTAGAGCGTCCGGCCGGCGGCGGGTGAGGCGGGGTTTCTCGGGGCCGCGGCATCCTTTTGTCGTAGAGACACTCATTCTGGTGACACATATCTTTTCAGGAAACATCCCCCAGTGGCAGTGACAGAGACCCCACATGTCGACGTATGAACACACCCCGGCGACCATCCTCGAAGAACGCAACAGTACTCTCGTTGTTTTGTCGATAGTCCAGGACTAATTCTCGTCGATCGCCTTTATGGCCATTGTCCTGTTCTCAGCCGGGCCGAGGTGGTCTTGCAACGAACAGTATTGCCATGATACACAGTGAATCAAACAACACGCAGGTACCTCTTTCGTGCTTTCGCAGTCAACCTCATCCTTCGTCCTTTCTCCTTTAACTCACGTCCAACAGCTTTCTCTTTCATCTCACAAACCCAAACGACTTGCATCCATAATGGCCAAGTGCCGACACGCACGCACCAAAGCCTTCGCCAAGAGACACGCAAAAAAGCAGCATGCGATCAAAGCCAAAACCAAGCTCCAGAAGCGTAAGCAAGCTTACCTAATCGTATTGTTTTTCAAACCACGGTTCCGGTTGAACGCTAACCTTGGGGCTACCTAGGTTTTCAAGGAACATTGACCTCTGACAACAGATTAATTCAGTGCGCGTAACCATTCCATCGCAATCCTCAGAAACACTTTCTCGCACCAATTCCACAGATTCTCCTTTCAGGCCCTGCAGTCCTGAGGGTGAAGGTACAAGAAAGAAAGGTGAATTGTACTGCATGTGATGCCACAGGCCTGTAACGTTGCTTACGTGTAGAAGCTCTAGACCTACCTTCTCCAACCACGACCATGAGCCAACGGAATCAGACAGAGCAGCTTGTGGCCGCTGTTGCAATGCTTGTCGCTGGCGGAAATGATGCCGAAGAGGACATTATTCGCATCTCCCAGATCCCCCGCACCGAAGCCCCCGTTGTTGAGCCCGACAGCTCTACCGCAGCCGCACATGATTGCACCGATTCGCTCCTGGCAGCACTTCGTTGGGGACTTCAAAAATACGGAGCGAGATTGGTTGAAGGATACGTATTTTTCAGTAGCCTTTGCCGTCTGGCAACCAAACTCCCGCATAGGCAAGAAACCCCCCCTCCCCCCCCAAAAAAAAAAAAAAAAAAAAAAAAAAAGGCTACTCGCGTGTAGTAATGTGCATAACCTCTGACTGAAGTCTGACAGGTTCCCGGTGATAAATTCGTTCGGGTTATTCGACATGTTTTACCACAATGGAAAGCGCCTTGGAGCCGCATCTATTCCTCGCGCTTTCCGGATCACCGAGGTTCCAAGCGACGTTGCCCAATCGCTGCCACATATCCGGCAGCAGCTGATAGAAGCCAAGGATGCGCCCCTACCTCTGGGTCTCACAGTGTTGAAGGTCGGCTTTTCGAGCGATTTCGCCGTTCCAGCCATTACCGTGCTTACAACCAGCGAGTTCCATTTGACGTCAGCGGCCGAAGTTCCAACCCCTATTGTTTTGTGTGTTGGACGGTTTGAATTGTTGGCTACCCTACGCGATCCACTCGGGCCCATCGATCACGGAGAGCAAGAAGCGAAGGAAATGTTAGAAGGCGGGGCCAGTGGAAGAGAGCTTCGTGACCGCATTAGGTGGTTGGAATCGATGAAGGTCTCGAAGAGATTTTGTTCAACCCCAGGGCCAATCTACCACGGAACGTCAATTGGCTTAGCTGTGGGCCCTGAAAGCAAAGGTTCAGCTGGCCTGTACGTTACACCGACGACGTCAGCCAATGGCTTCATCGCGAAGCGTAACTACCTTTTGACTGCCGCCCATGTTGTGCTCCCAGGAGGCTTCCCAGAGCGGATGGATGTGCCCTTCGACGACAGCGTTACCATTGTCCCTGTGGCTGATATCACCACGCCGGGGAGGCTTGATGTTGCACGGGTTCTCTTCGACCTTCAAAATTACTGGTTTCTAAACTCCGTCAAGGCGAAGGAGCTAGTTGTGGCCGCCAAAACCCCCTGCGGAACCGTGATGACGGGGAAAATTGGCTGCGACCCACAGGGATGGAGGGAAGACTGGGCCCTGATCTCTCTGGAAGACGTTTTCCGTGGAAAGAATGGCCTGTTCCGGGACCTAGAGGGCTTCGGAGACATCTCAAAAGGAGTTCAGGATATCGCAGCAGACGGTGAAGTGGAGGGCGGGGTGGATTTGTGCCATGATCGAACATGGTACAAGGACGGTGCCTCGACGGGATGGACGGCGGGCGAGGTATCTCAACAAGAACTCGAGTTGTTCTTAAAGAGCACCGCGGGCGAGGATTACCATGGTGCTGTCCACGAAAAAAACGTCGTGCGTGCAAGACTCGTCTTGCTCCAAGCCGCCGACGGGGCTTCGATGGCGGCTGCTGGAGACAGCGGCTCGGCGCTGTTCTCCTTGAGCGATGGGGGAAGGAAATTCGTCTGGGGGGGGATGATTGTGTCACTCTTTCGCCCATCACTTGGGCAGGAGTTCGTGATGGCGGTACCGCAGTCGCAGATTCTGGAACAGCTGGCTCTGAGGACCGGTGTTCGCTGGGAGTTGTAATTCCATGGTATTGGTCTTTTTTTTTTTTTTTTTTTTTCGTAGTACTCACGCGGCCGGAATCATTGCACATCACGTGCCCGCAGGGTTAGGGTTATATTTTCTACCCGAAAGCACCCCGCTCGATACCCCCCCATTATCTCAACAACGGCGCGACCGATTTGATTCAAATTGATGTAGTAGGATACGCGAAAGTAAGCCCTCCAAAAATCAGCCGTTGTGGCCTGGCTCCGCCGCAACCCCACACACGTGAAAAATATAACCCCAACCGTGATGTTCAATGATTCCGGCCGCGTGAGTACAGAATTACCAAACTTCAATGATAACCTTGCGTATTGCACACCAGTCGGTCCCGTTGGGCAGCTGTGGTTGCTCTTATCACGAGTTCGCAAGGTGCATGGAATGACGGCGATAGTGATACAGACAGTATGTGCACTGAGTAGGTTGTGTGGGTTAACGGTGATGGGCTCATGCCGCCCCCAGTGTCGTGGCCGCAGTATCATACACAGATCTGAAGGGGCACAAAAGCCGATGTTTGAAGCGCTTCAAGTTATTCGCGTCGCTAAAGCACATTCCTTGGAAGACGACCGACGCGATACCACATGCAATATCCCTCTGCAATCTGCGCCTGCACAGCTAACGGTGCGCCTAGGGGAGTGCGGCACCCGGTAGTCAAAAGGTCTGCACTCCGCTGGCCCCAGAAGCTAGCCCAGTTGTGGTGAACGACAGTCGTGTTGCTTGGGGGAAAAAAGGTACCATCGAGAATCGCCATGCCTTGAGGCCGAGGAAAGTCATTCGCCGTAGGCCTATTATCGGCGAGAGTGAGTAGAGGAGCTCGATGTGGCTGCAGAAACTTTCACGCGTCCGGTCCCCAAGTATTCTAGTCCTTCTGAGGCAGAAGATGCCGTGCTCGGTGCTGCAGCGGATACCGATTTGCTGGACTTGGCATCTCCAGCAACTCCGAGAAGTTGGCGATAGCTGCATGGTTGAGGCTTTTGGGCTTGGGATGGCTGAGAAGGGACATGTGAATAGGGGGAGTCAGCACATTGAGTGTCGGGAAACGCTCGGGACGCACCCATTTAACCTATAAAATTAGAGTTTTTTCCGCAGGCAGAGTGAGTAGAATTCGAGTCGGGCCCGAACCTTTCCTCGCGTGAGCAGGCTGTGGGAATATAGCTGTCAACTTCTTGGTTAGGATCGGACCAGATCAACTATCACGCTCCCTCCCAATGAAGACTGTTCGATGGGATGGTATTCTTTGGTTTGCCCAAAGAACTCGGGGGTGGCATGGCTGGTGGCACCAAGAACGCGGGTGTTGGAAGAGTTAGACGGGTATATACCCGCCTAAAAACAGTCTGGCGACACGCCGTCCTAAAGGTTTCGTGCTGACGCCGCCTGCTGGAAGCCCGGTTGGCTTGATATCAAGCCGGCCTTCGAACCCGGCAAGTGGTGCGGTCCTGGCAACGCAAACACTGGCAACGATAAACCAGCCAGCCCGGCTTCGCGTTCAGCCGCCCAGCAGCCCGCTGGCTTGGCTGGCTATCGAGAACACACAGCGGATCTTGGTAGTGTTGAAAATAGGTAGGATTGAGAGAGGAAATAAAGCGATGGATAACCGTTGTTGCGATACACACCTTGCATTGGGGCGGCTTAGTAAGCAGGTCCGGCGACGGGCATTGGGGGGGGTTCGATTCGATGGCGGCCGCTGGAGACAGCGGCGCGGCGCTATTCTCCTTGAGCGATGGGGGCAGGAAATTGCTCTGGGGAGGGGAGATGATTGTGTCGCTCTTTCGCCCATTGCTTGGGGCAGAAGTTCGCGATTGTGGTGCCGCAGTCCCAGATTCGGTGGCGTCGCGACGCTGGCTTCGAGTCTGCTGGGCAGGCTGTCGGGTCCTCTGGGTGCCGGATTCCGTTGGCTTGTCCGCCGCCGATCCGCGGCTAAGCTCCTCCTCTGCCTTGCGCATATCCACGATGCGGCCTGGCCATCTCTTCAGACGGTTGCCCATCGTTCTCCAGGAGCT